CAGGCAGTGGTGGTGCATGCCTTTAATACCAGCACTTGGAGGGCAGAGGTAGGTAGATCTCTGAGTCAAGGCCAACCTGGCATATTAATCGAGTCCCAGGACAGCCAGGGCTACACAGAGAAACCCTGTCTAGGGAAGAAAAAAAAGAATTATGTGTGTTCTTATATAAATGTGTGTGCATGTGTTTGTGGAGGTCAGAGGTCAATGAACCTCACATGTCCCTCAGTCACTGTCCACCTCATTTGTTGAGAAGGGGTCCCTCACTGCCCTGGAGCTCGCTGGTTTTGCCAGGCTGGCTGTCTATCTCTAGGGATCCTCCCGTCTCTCCCTCTTCAGTGTTGGGATGACAAGCGTGTGCTACCATGCCCAGTTTCTTCTGGTTCTGGGAATTGAACTCAGGTCTTCAAACATGCAAGGCAAGCATTTAGCTGACTGAGCCATCTCTTCTGTCCCTCAGGGAACCTTTAAAATTAATGTCAGTCCTCATCTGGCTCACATGACTTAATTTCAGTCCTAAAATAAGTCTGAAACGTGAAAGGGAAATGCAAAGAGAATAAGGTAAACTCTTCCACGAGATCACTGTTCCTCATCACAGAAGGAGGATCTCATAAACTCCTGCATCATGTGCATGAAATATGGACAGACGCAGTTCTTTGGTGACCTAGGCATACAGGCGACACTTTGTGATGGTTAGAGCATAGCTAATGTGGAGAGTTTCTCCATATAAACACATGTATAACGTGTTTCTTTAAATGCCCGTGAGGAGAAGAATGAATACATCTCACAGAAACTCATCTCATGCATTAATTTCACTCCTCCAAAAAGCAGAGAAGAGGGCGTGATTAAGCAGAGAAGTAGCTTGCTGAGGGAATACCTGTGATGGGAAAAGGAAGATGGAAATGGAGAAGGTAGGGAGATCCAAATGCCGCCAGGACGTGGAGAGGAATGAAGCATGGGTAGTTAGTGGAATGTCAGGCATGCTCAGTCTTAGCAGGCTTGAGATATCATTTGATCAGGGGACCAAGAGCACTTGATTGACATGGATCAAGACCGATGTGCTCTGCAAGCGCAAAGTTGCCTGAGCGGCAAAGGGCTGTCTGGACTCCCTGTTCGTACTGCGCTGCTCTACAAGGCAAAGATGGCAGGCTGGATTCACGCCATTGGCAGCAGGTTATTTTCCCAGGTGGCTGCGGTTTGGGGCAATGATGGCGAAGTCAGAATTATGATCTCACGAAGCCTCCGCCCACACTGTCTGTGCACTGTGCAGTTTGCACGAGTTGTCAGAGGACTGGAACATAATGCTCGTTTGGGGAAGTGTGATTTGTTGCTTCGTCCACAGTCTTCTGAGCAATGTTTTTCATTTTCCTCCCACTTTAACTTGCTAAGCCTTAAGGGAATTGATGGATAAGGCCAGGTCGCTATGGTGGATACTAACGTTAAGCCATCTACTCTGCCACTTCAAATCATAAATCCCAGAAAATGGTCCCAATTCTGTTGTGCATTGTTTTAAGAAGCAGGTTGAGCCGGGCGGTGGTGGCGCACGCCTTTAATCCCAGCACTCGGGAGGCAGAGCCAGGCGGATCTCTGTGAGTTCGAGGCCAGCCTGGGCTACCAAGTGAGCTCCAGGAAAGGCGCAAAGCTACACAGAGAAACCCTGTCTCGAAAAACCAAAAAAAAAAAAAAAAGAAGCAGGTTGATAGATTGCCTTTTTTTTTTTTTTTTTTTATCCTCCAAACCTCAAACTCTTACTTTCTCCCTAATCACTAACACAATCCTACCAGCCAATGGTGTCAGATATGTGCTGATTGGCTGGTCCTTCTCCAATCAGAATGGTTCTTCCAATGTTACGGAATGCTTGAGGACACACACACACACACACACACACACACACACACACACACACTTTGTGACTCAGCTCTATCCAGTTGTTTTTCCCATTTTTATCTATCAACTGAATCAGGTTTATCCTGCGATCCTTCAGTCAAGTGGCATTGCCCACAGGCTTTCCCAGAACCTCACCATCAACAGCGTTTCTTGACCTCCTCACACCTGGTCACACATACTTCAGAGTGGAGCAAGAGGAGCCTCTCCTTGGGGTGGGTTTCTAGGTTAGAGAACCCAGCTCTGACTCCCTCTAGCCACAGACTTCTCCTTGCTATAAAGGGTCCAAGGGACTAAAGTCTTGTCTTATTGACACCTGAACTCTGAATAGTCACAGTTTTCTCTCTCTAGCCTTCAGGAATTTCATCTGCCTCCATCCTCTTTGGACAGACATCACAGATTTGTACTTGTAAAGATCCACTGCCAACAGGTGGCTCTCAGGATGCCTGGGCTAAGGGGTTCACATGAAGTTGCATGGTCCCTGCAGACACAGGGAGAGAAGAAGATCAGGTCCAAGTGTGCCATGTTGGATCCTTTTGATGTCATCATTTTCCCAAGTGACTTTTCAAGCTGAGCATCCGTGGCCTATGTTAGGTTAGATGCATATTTCAACTTAAAGTAACCCAAAATGTACAGGGGGAGAAAGGAATTCACAAGATTAATTCATTCATAAGATTAGTAGTGAGAGCCAATTAGGACCAGGAGCAATATTCTTCAGAGAGTTAATTTCATTCGAACTCACTAGCAACTCTGCTAGGTTTCACTGTTCCCTGTAAAAATTAGAAAATCAAGACCCAGAAAAGTCTCACAGGAGATGGGGCTTGCTCCTCAGGTCTCCATGGCCACTGTCTCTTCACTACACCTTCCAGGAGTCTGTGATGTCAACCATGCATTACAGAGTGACTAAGGAAAATGTGCAGTGTGCACACAATGGAGTTTGATTCAGCCATGAAGAACAACATTATGTCATTTACAAGAAAGACTTGGATCTGGCAACCATCGTGCTAAGTGAAATAAGCCAGACCCAGAAAGGCAAACATCGCATATTTTCTTTCATGTGTGCAACTTAATCTATACATATATGAGTATAAAATACATAAATATTATATATGACACGAATGCAGAATGGGAACTATTTGTGAAGATTTAGAGAACTAGTGGGAGAGCGTAATGGGGGTGAATATGGTCAAAGTGCATGACATAGTTGAATAAAAACATCATTTTTAAAGCTATCATTTTGTATAATAAATATAAGCTGATTTAAAAAAAAAACAGCTAAGAGTAAGTAGTTCCCCATTTGTGAATTGGTGGTTAGCAACCAGAAGGCTAGTGTTGAGAGTCTTCTTTGTAAAGACTGACATTTGAAAGCTGAGACCTACTTGGTTGCAGAGGTGGATGTTGGACTTGGGCAACAGGTAGTTAGTGGTTGGGATGGATGTGTTCCCATTTGTCGGGCTTAGAGACTCAGGAATTCCAAAGACCTTCATTCATTTTTCCCTCCAGAGCTTGTTTTCTTGCAGACAAAACCACTTCCCTTCTCTGCCATGGATCACGTATTAAAGAGAATGAATGTTCATGATGCAGGGAAAAAGGACACAAATCTGAACAATGGCTCTCCCTCTAGGGGGCGAGATTCCCAAAGAACTCTTACACATTTACCAGATGGGGTGAAAGTCTTAGAGGTGGTAGAGCAGCCTCCTCCAAATGGGGAGGGGAATCTCAGAAAGCATATAACCTAGTCATTAATGGGCTAGTGTTAAAAGAGCCGAAATTCTTGTCTGCACATTCACCAGGCTTCTTCCAGACTCCAAGGGTCAGTTTGTGAAGAAGCAAGCCGTTTGCACACACTTTCTATGACACTGATGTCAAATCGAATCAAAGATAGTAGGTGTGGGTATTATGTCTCCAGGCACGGGGTTAGGGGAGTTTATGTATAGAGGAGAAAGAGCTCTAAGTACCAGTTAGTCAGTGTTAAAGGACCCCTGATCTCACCACATGACTGTGTCTCTGCACATTTTGGAATACTGCTATTTTTTTTTAAAAAAAGTCTATAAACTTCTTTTTTGGAAAATGAATAATATTAACACATTTTTGCTCAGGAGAGGGATACAGGTACAGCACTCTAGTGATCCAACCCAGGCTTTCATCCACGCATGCAAGCAAAGACTCCGCCTACTACTACAGGCAGCTGAAGCCCTGTGTTCTCCTAAGGCTAATTTCGTATTACCAGACTTAAGGAATTCTAGAAAGCACTTCAAAAAAAATTATGTTCTGTCTGAGTCAATAACGACAAAAGAGGATGGCCTCAGAAATGGGCACCATTCTGGGCAAACTCTTGTTTGTCCTTAATATTCTGAGTAGTCCTAAGTTAAGCAGACCACAGAATTTGTCAGGAAGAGATAAATAAAAAGACTGTGTGAGCCCTCCACTCAAAAACTATTAAAAAAAAAAAACGGAAGAGAAGAAATTCTCCTCCGAGGATACATTTTTTTTTTTTTTTGAGAATTGGAAACAGATAGGTTTAAAGATACTACATTGTGGTAGAAATTGCCTTGAGAACATACAATTTTTAAAACGCCATCTAACCAAATGAAAGTTGGATCATATTTTTTTTCCCTGAAACTATTGCAATCAAGCTTAGGCAGTCTTCTCTGGTTTGCGAACTTTTTAAACATCTGCAGACAATGCCGTGCACTTACACTTCTGACACCACTTCCTGACTTAAATAAACCTGGGCTGTGACTCAACTTTTTAAAGTAACCTTTGGGCAATTTATGTAAACACATGGTGTATTCAGTAAAAACTTGAAAGGATATCTGTGTTTGTTTGTTGGTTTGTTTTTAATGTATGCATCAGCCCATTGATAGGTGGAGACCCAGAGAAGGGAAGGAGGGAGAGGGATCTAGAGTGAAGATAGGGAGGAGAGAAAAGGAAAGGGGGAAGAGAGACACAGAGGGACAGAGAAACAGAGAGGGGCAAGATGAATCCACTTCCAGGCAGGAAGGAGAAAGACACCAACTCCGAGGTTTACGAGATTGTGCGGGTTGCCGCAGAGGAATACGGTAACAGCTGGAGATTACGGTACTCTCTGGGCTACTGCCTGTACTACGTCAACCAGAGCCGCAAAGTTCCTCGCTTCTCTTTTCTGGTGTCCAGGAACTGAATATCAAACCGGTGATCGCGGAGTTATTGGCTCGTTATATTTGTCTTTTCTTTTCTCTGTTACCAGTCTTTAATTTTAAAAAGATCTAGGAGAAGCAGAAGCGAGCCCGGAGTTTAAGGTGCTCGGCAGTGGTGGGTGAGTCAGCGGGTGCTAAGGACTGGGACTTGGTCTTTGGAGACCGTCCCCTCTCCTCCCTGCAGAGAAGCAGCGGGCGCTGCAAGGACTGAAGGTCCGCTCTTCCCCACGCCCGGGCCTCCGCATCCGCGCAGCAGGTGAGTAGCGCTGCGGTGCCCGGCGCAGGCATCCCGCAGGGCCGGGTGGGGGTGGGCAGGTGTGCCTGGCTTCCAGTTGACACTGGACCTCCACTTAGCCCTGCGTCTTCGCTTTGGGACCCGACTTGAATACCAGCACCCCAGAGCTCTGTGTTTTCCTGATTTGCCATGAGAAGTTACCTTCTAGTTAACAAGTGTCATTTTAACCCAGTTATAGACCCCAGATGGGAGAAAGCGGGTTCCGCAGTGGCGTGTTTTTGATATCGCTTGTGAAGGCTTGAACTTGGGATTTTCACAGCAGCCTTCGCCTGAGATCCCTGCCTTGGGGCTCAACCTCAAAAGACCAAGTGTGCATGTCCCCAAGCCCGGCACTCCTGTCCCACGTTTCCTAGTCCTTTGCAGTTGTAGAAATCGGGTTATTTAGGTAGATCATGACCCCTGGCCCAGAAAGTCCCAGACATCCCCGACTGCTGGCACGCAGGTTTGATTTTTTTTTTTTAGACCCTTGGGGAATCCGCAGTGACTGTTACTCGCAAAGCCTGGTCCGAGGAGTGATGCGCTCCTATTCAGCTCCCCAGAAGCCCGGGTGTGGCTAGAGGCTGGAATCCGTAGGGCGGGCGCCCCTTGGAGATCCTGCCTGAATCCATCAGGGCCCTGTTTAGCCCTGGGGATCAGCTTTGCTGAGAACCTGGCTCTCGCGCGCGGGTAGCTTGGCAGGTAGACAGACTCGCGCGCTCTGCTCCCACGAGCGCCAATTCCGCGGGAGTGAGCGTGCGCGTGGCCCTGCGGTTCCGTGCTCTCTGAGGTTCGCTCTCCCAGGCCGCCCTCTCCAGGTGACTGTGGTGCAACCTGTTCAAAAGGCAACCCGGAGGATCCTCCAGATTTCCACCCGCTTGACTCTGTGCGACAACCCGCCGCCGCAGACAAGGCTGTGGAGCTGGGGTGGTGGTGCAGGGAGGGGGCGTTTCGGGGCTTTTATTTTCTCCATCCTGGCTCTCGGAAATCCAGCTTCCAGCTACTGCAGCTTGGGGTTTGGTTGTCATTATTTGAGGTGGGGATGTTGTTCTGTTTGTTTGTTTAGGGGGTTTTGTTTTGTTTTTCTGCTTGATTTTTGTTTTGGGTATTGAACTTGGTCAGCCACGGGGAGGTGGAGCACTAGAAGGCAGCCTCCCAGAGGGGAGGATTGGGGAGGACTGAGAAAAGGGACAGAGCACGCGATCCCCTCCTGTGTCTACTCATCGCCTGCGTCAAGGCCGCACAAAGCCACTCCTGGACTGCAGAGCAGCGGGCTCCCAGCAGGAGTCTGGTTACTGGGCGAGCTCAGCAGGGCCTGGCTGTCTCCGGGCCCTGGCTCACCGTCCGCCTTTTTCTTTGCGCTTTTTATTTTCAGCTGGATTCAAATGAACGAAGCTCCAGGGCCGCTTCGGTCTCAGCAAATATTTCAGACCCATGCAACCTCGCCAGAACGCCTAGAGGCTGGAGCTAGCAGGAGCCCATAGTTGGGCGACCAGCTGCAGCGCCCAGATGCCCAGATGTTCCTTTTGAACTTCGACGGCTAAGCCACACTTAGCTGCTACCCTTTCGGCAAAGACTGGCAACAGACTTGTGAATTTCTAATTTACCTGTGAATGCACAGGATGGATCAGACCACACAGAAAAGCGAGCTCCTGTAATCTCTGGGACTGCATTCACAGCGTGACCCCTTGAACCTCGCTGCATGCTTAGGGTAGGGAAGGTGTCCCCAGCAGTCCAGAGCTTTCCTGGCCATGTCACCGTTAATGATCTGTGACTTAGTGTGGCCCTCGGAGGGTTGCCAGGGCTGCCCACGGTGGTTTCCAACAGGTGTGTTCTCTCCCTTCCCCAGCCCAACCCAGCTGGCAGGATTCCCCCAAGCTGAGGTTTTTTGACTTGGCTTCCTCACTCCCACCTCCGCCCCCACCACACCAGAGGGTGGCCGTCCAGAGCCGGACCTGGCCCCCCTCCCTGGGACCATGGTGCTTCTCGCTGAAAATGTTTCCGAAGGTTCCAACTGTACCCACCCACCAGCACCGGTGAACATTTCTAAGGCCATTCTGCTCGGGGTGATCTTGGGGGGACTCATCCTATTCGGGGTGCTGGGGAACATCTTAGTGATCCTCTCAGTGGCCTGTCATCGGCATCTGCACTCTGTGACTCACTACTACATCGTCAACCTTGCGGTGGCAGACCTTCTTCTCACCTCCACCGTACTGCCCTTCTCAGCCATCTTTGAGATCCTGGGCTACTGGGCCTTTGGCAGGGTCTTCTGCAACATCTGGGCGGCAGTGGACGTCCTATGTTGCACAGCGTCCATCATGGGCCTCTGCATCATCTCCATCGACCGATACATTGGTGTGAGCTACCCACTGCGCTACCCCACCATTGTCACCCAGAGGAGGGGCGTCAGGGCTCTGCTCTGCGTCTGGGCGCTTTCCCTGGTCATCTCCATCGGACCCTTGTTTGGCTGGAGGCAGCCGGCCCCTGAGGATGAGACCATCTGCCAGATTAATGAGGAACCTGGCTACGTGCTGTTCTCCGCGCTGGGCTCTTTCTACGTGCCACTGGCCATCATCCTGGTTATGTACTGCCGAGTCTACGTGGTGGCCAAGAGAGAAAGCCGAGGCCTCAAGTCCGGCCTCAAGACCGACAAGTCGGACTCAGAGCAAGTGACGCTCCGTATCCACCGGAAAAATGTCCCGGCAGGAGGCGGTGGGGTGAACGGTGCCAAGAATAAGACTCACTTCTCCGTGAGGCTGCTCAAGTTTTCCCGAGAGAAGAAAGCCGCCAAGACTCTGGGCATCGTGGTGGGCTGCTTCGTCCTCTGCTGGCTGCCTTTCTTCCTAGTGATGCCCATTGGTGAGTGTTCTCAGCCCCCGCTGCTGCTTAAGGTTTACAGGGAGGGGAGTCTCCACGGGAGACCTCGCCTAGGGTGGGAGGAGGGGGTCTGCATTTCAAAGTGCACAGAAGGACTCCCTGGTGGGGATTAGAGATTTCCCTCTTTCTATTCCAGTCTCCTTTGCACTGGGTCCTAGGTCACTTGGTCCTCTGCAGCCAAGAAGGCTCCTCCTGGCTGCTCCAGATTCGTTGGTCTCTTTATTGAGAATGTCAACTTTTCATAATGCTTTTACGCCTGTTTATTTTAAATCTACTCACTCCCTTTAGTGTCCCCAAAGCAGACTGCTGAATACTGCTTGTGCTCTACAATGGGTGGGAAGAGAGTCCCATTGGCTTGTAAATAAAATAACCACCACGCTGAATTCTGGGCAAATGTGTGACAGCAGGATCGATCGGGTTAGATGTTTCGTTCCATGGTGTTAGTTCTAGCGTCTGCTTAGGCTCTGTCTGCCCATTTTGTTTTCTGAATTCATTACGGAAGAGAATATGGTAAGCCACCCATGACAACAGAAATGGTTTTTTTTTTTTCATCCAAACCAATTAAAAACTGTTAAGAATCCACCATATCAATCCCAGTGAGCAAATACTCTTTCATTTTCAGCAGCGAGTTTGAAAGCAGACATCACTCTTACCCAAAATCATCCCGGAAGTTACAGAAAACAGCTTGAAAACAGTACAATAATGTTGCAAATCCAATTTTTGCAGATGCAAAATTAGCTGTTATCAAAATTAATTAGCTCATTCTAAGTATCAACGAGCTGATCCACTCAGAACAGTCCCCTGTCTCTGAGAGGCCTTCGATGCAATCCCAAAGCACTTCTTGGCTATTTTTAGTTTGTAAGCTAAAACCCAGACTCACAGGCTGGTTACCACAAACTCTAACAAACATAAATTATAGCAAATAACGACAATAACACAACCCCTCCAAAGTTCCTATGAGGCCAGTGTCAATTACAGAACCATACTTTGCAACATTGCGTCAAAATAATAGGTCTAGTTTTTGAGTGCCAGCGGTGCCCCAGATGTTGACCAGACTTTTCAACCAAGCTACCATCCTGCCACCACAGGTGGCAGAAAGACACTTTTCAAGTTCTATCAAATGATATAGCCACCAGTCATGTGTAACTGTTCAAGTGTAGATTAAAATTAAATTATACCCAAATTCCCTCTCTCAATCCCACTAGCCACTTTTCTTTTTTGTTTCTGTTTTTTGTTTTTTGGGGTTTTTTTGTTTTTTGTTTTTTTTGTTTTTTGTTTTTTGTTTTTTTCGAGACAGGGTTTCTCTGTGTAGTTTTGTGCCTTTCCTGGAACTCGCTTGGTAGCCCAGGCTGGCCTTGAACTCACAGAGATCCGCCTGCCTCTGCCTCCCGAGTGCTGGGATTAAAGGCGTGCGCCACCACCGCCCGGCCACTAGCCACTTTTCAAGTGCTCAACGACCAGCTCTGACCAGGAGCTACATTTTGAGACAGTAGGGACACAGGTGATTTCTACCGTTGTGGGATTTCTGTAGAGCGAGGCTACTGGAGAGGCTGACTCACCGTATGACCTTTGTGCCTGCCTATCACTGTTCCTAACGCTTCTCCTGGAAGGATGTTGGAGCTTTGAGTTTACAGGACACTCTTCAGCCTCTCTGTTTACTTCTTTTCCCACATTCCTCCTCTTTGCATCCCCGAGAGTACACGATTATGGCTGTACTTGCTCACTCTACAAATGCTTGCCGACCCTGGTTTTAGCTGCTAGCGGGGAACAAGACAGAAAAGCCTTTGCCCAGGAAGTAGACATGCGCAAATGTGCCCTAAAGGTTAAGGATTTATAAGAGCTATCAGAGAGCAAGCAGAGTGAGGGGCCAGGGAGCCTAAGGACGATGGGTCAGTCTGGGAAGTTCTATGCAGTGTCGAGACAATCAAGCAGAGCATTGACTCAACTGAGCTTGTAAAATCCAGAGGGAAGAGCAGGTTGGCAGAGGCAACAGCAGATGCAGAGACAGGAAAGCTTCGTCTGCTCAAGCAAGGGCAAGAGGCAAGGGCGAAAGGAGGCTGAGGGCAGATGAGGTCACGTCACGTGAGGTCTCTTTGGTCAAGGAAAAATCGTGTACTTGTCGACTTGCGGTTGGAAGCTGTTGGAAGCCGTTGGCGGGTATTTAAGCAACTAAGTGGCTCGTCTTTGTACTTTGTAATGATTGTTGTGGTAGCTGGGTGAAGAATGGCTGATTGCAAGCAAGAGTGGAAACAGGGAGACCGGCGAGGAGGCTTCGGAAAGGTCTGGGAGAGAGATTGTGAGGCCTTGGACTCTGGTGTACTGGGCGAGTGGAAGCAATGGAGAGGGAGCACTCTGGATGCTTCCCTCAAAGGCGGAGCTGACAAATGTGGACAGGGGAACGAAAAAAAAAAAAGGAGAAATCAAGTGTGATTTCCAAGTTCAGAACCTGAATAACTGGTAAAGGGTGATATATTTGAGGGGGGGCAGGGAGAGATAGAGATAGAGATAGAGATAGAGATAGAGAGATAGAGATAGAGAGATAGAGATAGAGAGAGAGAGAGAGAGAGACAGAGAGACAGAGAGACAGAGAGACAGAGAGAGAGAGAGCTGGGAAGGGCTGGAGAAGGTGGGACATCATAGTGTTGCTTTCCTGCTATGCTGGGAACGTCTATTAGACATTTGAGTATCTACAAGGTGGGTAGTGGTGCGAACTTGGAGCTGTGAAGGGACATGTGTCAGGCAGGAAAGAAAGAAGACAAGAGCGAGGAGGAGTGTGGCCCAGGAGGTAGGAGAAAAATGAGGAGAATGTGGAATCCCCGAGGCAGAAGATAAATGTTTAAAACACGAATAGCTTAGTCTACAGTGTGAGTTCCAGGACAGCCAGGGCTGTTACACAGAGAAACCCTGTCTGGAAAAATAACAACAAAAATAAGAATAGTCAATTGCGTCACACACAGCTCCTGGGCAGAGCAAATGGAGGACTGGACACCAGCAGTGGCCTTGATGATGAGGCAGTCCTAACTGATGGACAGTGGTCAGGTGGGTCTGGTCACTCCTGCAAAGAGATGGGAACAAAAGCCCAACTCTGCGTCTTCGGGGAAGAACGGAAGATCAAGGGGGGTGAGGAAAAACAGCTCTTAGGAAGAGTTTGCTAGAGGGGAGTTGGGAAGGGGTATTGCTGGAGAGATCCAGAGGCAGTTCTCAAAAGCGGAAGACAGGCCATGGTGTTTGTATTCTGGTGGGAAAGATCGGATAGAGCAGGACAGCAATGGCATAGGCAAGAGCAGAGAGAAGTGTCCAAGAGAAGGAAACGACAAAGAAATCAAGGATGTGAGCACCGTGGCAAGAAAAAGTGGAGGAGAGCATTAGAGATCTCTTCAGAAAGCTCCAATATCCCCCAGTGAGCTGAGAAGCAGAGAGGGGAAGGAATGAGGAATGTGTCTGTTGAAAAGACATGAAATATCTTAGGAACAAGAGTCTGTGTATTATGAAAATTTAGTCAAGACAGTAAAGTCCCAAGGGCCCATTCGGAATTTATGATCATGAATATGAAACAGAGCAGGGAAGAAGGCTACATGATGCTCTCCCAAAGCTAAGTGGCTGATGGCTACAGAGGTGTGGCTGAGGATAGATAGGAGTTCTAGGGAGCAGGGTAGAGAGGGCACATCTGTGATGGATGGACATGGACTGGGTCAGATCACAGCCCACACAGAACAGATGGTGGAAAGGGTTAGAGACCATGGATACCTGGGACCTCAGGACTGTGTTGGTGACGGGTTCTAAAGAGATGGGGCATAATGACTCAAGTCCTGATGTCCTGAAGGACAGGTGGATGCCTGGGACTTAAAGGAGTCTTCTCCTGGGCTTACGTGCACTCTCAAGGAGTGAGAATGCTTGGGTAAAGGTGTTGTGACAGGGGACTTGTGATGTAAAAAATAAAAGGACACAGAATCAAGAGGAAAATTGAAAACCTATAGTTAACAGTGTGTTAGAAGGCTGCTCAGTGAGGTGGGAGATCCCTAAACTCACCAATATGTGATTGGCAATTTCCTTCTAACACCAAAGGAATACGAAGACGTTTCTCCCAGGAGATACGGACAGGTGATAAATCCCAAATACCAAAGCAGAAAGAATGGAAAGATGCATACAGCATGCCCTTGCTTTCCCAGGGCCTGGCAAGCTAGTTAAAGAGACAAAGTGAGTAATTAGCATGGGCCCAAGAGACTGATGCTCAAGCAGTATTAGGACCTTGTGGTGAGGAATATAGTGGTTGTAGTCATCTGGAAATCATTGAAGAAGCTTCTAGAATACCACTGCTGATGGAGCAGGTTCTTAAGACAGCACTGCTTCAGCTGAGCCATCAGTGAGATGTTATTTGTTTTCATTAGCAGCCTCAAATGCATTTTTCACACAAGATGTGAACAGAAAAATAAATATGCCATTATGTTTCCAAACCCCAAGAGAAGAGGCCATTAATCTGCATTAGGCGGTTCGAGAATGAAAAGATAGAAAGAAAACTGGGTCCTGAAGGAAGGGGGTGTGGCAAGCTGAGACTGAAACACCCACATGTGTGCTGTCCAAGGAAAACCAATGAGGGAATACTTTTCGTTACCAACGGTTTCTGACCACTGAGGTATGATGGCTTATACCTGTGATCTCAGCACTTGGCAGGTGGTAGCCGGAAGACCAAGAGTTCAAGATCACCCTCCGCTCCACTACACTCAATCTACAGTGAGTTAGAGAGTAGCCTGCGTTAGGAGAGACCTGTCCATCAAAAGTCCCCATGGAGACCAGGAGGAGGCTTTGTCACTCTGACATTGCTAGGGTAAGCCCCTTTTCCCCAAGCTTCTCCCCACCGAGCCTGGGATGCGTGCGGGATTGAATAGTGTGTTTGCAGGTGAGAATCCAACTGAACGGCTTTCAAACCCAAGTCTTGCTTGTCCTCTTTCCTTTCTGCGAGTCCATTGTTGGGCTGAAACTCA